ACTGCCACTGAAATTCAATGACCTGTGAATGTTTGATGTAACAGAAGCCTGGCTCCCCCAATAAAAATCCCCAATCGAACAACAGTAATTCAATACTACAAATCTAAGTCCTCTGGGATTCAATCTCCTTTACACTGAAGTTTCAATTCAACAAACATGCATTAAATGATGTGCAAAGAACAAGAAAGTAGGTGAGGCGCTGGGAAAGCAGTATGAATGAGCCTTTCAGGAGCTTGCACTCTGTCAGAAGAGAGGTTTAAGCCAATGATTACAACACGGTGTGGTACGTCAATATCAAAAGTATGTGTATCCTCACAAATAAACATGAAACTATCTCATAATAGGCATATAAAAATAATAGGCAACTCATAAAAGAATACAAATGATCAACAGATCAAACCCACTGTTTGCCTATGTAATCAGTGTATTTTTAAAAGCTCATAATATCCACTGTTGGTGGGAGGTGTGGGAAAATGGTCATTCTTACACTCTTACTAGGCTACATTGCTACAGAATAATTTGGAAAGCTGGTCATTTAAAGCCATTTAAATGTATATTCTTTGTCTTGGAAATTCTACTGGTTTCAGTGAACGGATAAATTAGTTTCACTAACCAAAAGAAAAAAGAAAATAATTCAATTTTAGAATGACAACTTTGGTTTAATAGTGTAAATTTCACACTCCTACAAGATATCCAAGTAAGCAGTTGGACATACGTAATAGTTAGCATTTACTAATGGATTTTGCTTATCTTACATACATTATTTCATTTAATCTCTCCAAAATTCAAAGCCATCTGTATACATTGGCAGGACCAAGATTCAAACACAGCTCTTAAGCCAAAGCTCTTAGTCAATATTCTATTCATCGTTCATGGGTATGACGCCTGGCAGAAAGGTCCAAGATAGAAACATACATTTTGCAAGTTTATCTTTCGTTTATTCCTTCATTCAGCAGACATATATTAGGTACCTAAGGTTGGATCTAAGGATACCAAGGAAGTAAAGTTAAATTTCTTATCCTTAGGGAAATAAAATAGGCATGAAAACAAAAAATTGCAATCTGATATGGCAGTGATAATAGAAATAATAAAGAGGAATAATACTAACCCCCAAAGAAAGAGAGAGTAGTCAACTCTGCATCGGAGAGTCATCAAGGAAGGTTCTAAGAAAGGAAGACAATGCTTGGCCATGATTTTGAAGGATGAGTGAAAAAAAAAAAAACATCCCCCAAGTGGACAGGAGAAGCAGGTAAGGAATTTGATTCCAGAAAAAAGGCGTTGAATATACAGAAGCATTACTTACAGCAGCATGGTCAGTACAAAGAAATACATGTAGGTCACCACAGTGATAAACGGACAGTGCCCTTTAACCACTCTCTAACTCCCAACCTCTGCTCCTCCAGATGTTGCAGAAAAAAAGAGAGGAAATATAAAGCCTTCCACTCTCCTGAGTTGCATTTTCCAAAGAGGTCCACACCGCTGATCTCCCCTCCAAACTAAGAACTGGAAAGGGACTAGGCAGCTTCCCTTGTCAATGAGGAGAAGCAGTGATGTAGTGACACTCTCCAAAACAGCTTCCCAATAGCACTGCTATCTACTGCTTCACACAGCCTTTGGTTTTCTTCATGGCCTTTATTTACTAACTAAAATTCCATCATCTATTCATTCTTTTCCTTGTTTATTGCCTTTCTCCCTCATTAGAATATAAGCTCCAGGAAGGCATGAGATGGGCCTTGTCTATTCTATTCACCACTGTGTCTTTTGTTTTTCTTTCTGAGACAGGGTCTGGCTGCAGTGGAGTGATGTGACCATGGCTCTCTGCAGCCTCAACCTCCCGGGCTCAAGCAATCCCCCCACCTCGGACTCCCAAGTAGTTGGGACTACAGGTGCACGCCACCACAGCTGGCTAATTTTACAATTTTTATTTTGTAAAGACAAGGTCTCACTATATTGCCCAATCTGGTCTCAAACTCCTGGGCTCAAGGGATCCTCCCACCTCAGCCTCTCAAAGTGCTAGAATGACCGTCATGAGCCATCCTGCCCACTGTATCTTGAAGAACACTTGGCACAGGAGGCGCTCCACAAATACCTGCTGAATGAATGAATGTTGTTTCATCTTACCCCATGTAAAGCATTATGGTTATTTTAAACCTAAAACTCAAATCAATATTTCACTTTTATAAGAAAATATTTTCTGTAATATTTCACATATTTTCATGATCTAATGAAATTTTCTAATGCTCTAAACAGCATCTCTATGCCCTCTATTTTTTTTTCACCGTAACAAATATTTAATGTGGCTCCAAAATCAACACCTACGAAGTTTAACTCTGCTCTCTACTCACCCTAATACTTCATTAGAGAATCTTTGGACCAAAGAGAACAAGGTAACAATTTTGGATAAAGTGGTATGCCAACTGCAAATTGATGTACTGCTTCAGTGAAACACACATGAGGAAAAACAGAAGGAAGCTATTCCATACTTAACGAAAAACTCCAAGTCCTGCTAAGAAAACAAAAATATCTTAGGTAGGAAAAAAAGTGACTGATGTTACTGGAAAAACAGATAACACATGACAACTCTAAGGAGGTCACCATTTTTTAGGAATTACTATCACTGATATAATTACTATCACTGACATAGCAAACTCATAGAGACCAGGTCTTGCCAAACTGCATGTGACATAAAATGTTTGGTAAAAGCTCCTGGAATCTGTTTATCCAACTGGCCACTGCACTTTGGGTTTCTTTTGAGCAACCTACCACTATTTTCAGAATCATGCTTTCAGGCTACTTGTGTCACAGATAGGATAGTCTTTCCCTGGCATTTTAGGCTTTTTTTATTTTTATTTTTTGAGACAGAGTCTCATTCTGTCACCCAGGCGTGATAGCTCACTGCAACCTCTGCCTCCCAAGTTCAAGTGATTCTCATGCCTCAGGCTTCCAAGTAGCTGGGATTACAGGCACACACCACCACGCACAGCTAAGTTTTGTATTTTTTAGTAGAGATGGGGTTTCACCATGTTGGCCAGGTTGATCTCGAACTCCTGACCACAGATGATCTGCCCACCTTGGCCTCCCAAACTGCTGGGATTACAGGTGTGAGCCATAGCGCCCGGCCGCATTTTAGGCTTTAAAAGCATACAGGAAACTGGTACCGCAAGCTTAGCCATGCCATTACTGACCTGATTAAAAATTTTGATACAAATCGTAAATCACGCAACTTTTGAAGATGCAACTTCAAAAGTTCAACTGTTGTGAAAAATATTACTGTTACTATGAATCATTTCGAGACCAATGAAGACTGAAGTAAGACCTAACTGTTGCCTTGCCAAATCCATTTCTCAATATAAATACCATGTAAAATTACACAATGGATTTACTCTAACCCTTTTTACATGGGAGTTACAAAAAGAAGCCTTTAAACACCTCTAGGGATAAATTTACTTTTCTCAGCCAAGTGTTAACAGCAATAAATGGAGGATTTACATGTAATCCCTAAAAGCAAATAGGCAGAAATTACCAACCAAGCTGTGACTTTTTAACTAAGCATTTTATTTAATCCCACTTATATAACAGGGCAATTTAAAGGGTACCAGTTTTAAAAACATGAGATGTAAGTGCAAAATAGTGTCCCTCCTATTTTAAAGCTAGTTTTCTAGGATTGTATATTCTAACAAATGTGGGTTGTTGTTTTTTTTTTTTTTTTTTTTCAGAGTACTCACTAGGAATGACTAAATAAACACCTATTCAGTCAATACTGCCATTTCTTAAAAATAATAGCTATCTGAGAACTTTTTTCAAAGTTAATGTATAAGCGATGTCCTTTCTAAATAGATACAAATGAACATTACACTAAAAAAAATGGATGTTTTCATAGGCTAATAACAGCATAATAAATTAGCTACACGGTTAAGACTCTCTTTGTTCTCAACTGCTCACTGGTGGCCGTATATCCTAGAACTGTATTTCTAGAATTCCATCAGCATCTAGTTAATAAGATCTATTTCTCTAGTAAGTAGTCTTTAGAAAAATGAATCAGACTTTATTAAAGACAGAATTCATATTATTACAAGCCACAGTAGCTAGTTTAGGATTTGTAAGACTATGTTATTGATAGCACAAATTAAAAGAGAGGTTCCATTTAGAAAAAGAGATCCCTTTACCCAACCATTATACTCTAAAAATAAAACCAACAATTCTTCACACACGAACAAAATCAAGGTGGGAATATACAAGACTTCAACTGATTACAGAACAATGACATAGCCAGAAGATCAATAAGGAAATGCATTTCATAGAATTAACAGTTAATGTTTATAATGAAGTTCAATCAAGTGGTTAAAGTCTATAGGACTACTTAAGAAAAATTTAAAAAGCAGAAAAAAAAAATGTCATCACAGGGTCAAACAAGTTTCAGATGTTCTAAACTTGTTTTCATTAGTCAGTAATATTCTGGTCTCCCAAATACTAGGCCAAATGGCTGATGTCACTTACCTTCTCGTATTCCAACCTCGCTGAAAAACCAGAAGGAATCTGTTTACAAATCAATCTGTGCCTTGAGCAGAGTTCTGCTACCTCTAAATAAAACCCCTTTTAATTTCTTATCACACAACTCATGAGTTCAGCAGAAATAAGAAAAAAAAACTACTTGCCAAATATAAATAACCACTATTCACATTTTGATGTAGTAAAAACAGTCACTTGCTAAAGCTTCTGTTCTTCAAGACAGTCTCCTTTTTCAGCCCTCTTCCTTCCATTTATTTTCCTCCTAAATATTTCAGTACTATTCAGATAACCAGTTCACCCTAGTCAAGAAAAAGACCTTCTGAGGAAGCTGAGCACAATGGTATTCTGGAATAAAATCCCACTGGGCTCTGATTAGAAGTGCAACGCTCCTGCCTATGTACAACCTGTCGCACCTGCCACCAGGCCCGGAGGCCGGGACTACCACAGAACCTGCTTCCAGTGTTCGACGCCTCCTGCAAAACATTACTTACTGTGCCAGGCATATGACTTCTCTCATTCTTCCCATTTTGAGAGCTGCCATTTTTTAGTTTCTTTTTCTTTTTTGCTGTTTCTTTGTGCTCTTTCTGTTTGTTTTGCACTTCAATAAGAACAGAAATAAAGCTGTTTTTCACTTCCTTTTCAAACTCCAGTTCATCTCGTAAGGCCAACTGCTGCACCAGCTCCTCCGAGTACTCCTTAATGGCAGTCTCAATCTCTTCCAGGAGTTCATTTAACTCAGACACTGAGAGCCTTTTTACTCCTAGGACCAAAAATAAAATACAGCTGATATGAAGACAAAAACGTTTCAAGGACACAAAACAGAGTAGTCACTAGCAATGGCTAAATAAATACCCATGAAATAAATGTCAAAGAACAAAAATCATATTCCAAGCAATTAAATTGGCTATCTGTGATCTTCTCAGAATTCTAAATTTCTGGAGGGCAGGTCTGAGTAGAGGTAAGTGGGCAGGTGAGTCACTTCTCAGCTTGCTGGGAAGAAAGTCTAACAAAAGCTTTTACTTGTGCAAATCAATCATTCCAGGAAGAGTACTTCAGCCAAGACTGTGAAAGCTTGTACAAGGAAAAGAACAAACACAAAAGCAGAGGGAAAGTACAGAAACCACCTGCTGAGCAAAAACTGCAAGCCGTTCGGCAGGGTTCTGAGATACCTCTGAAAAGGAAAGAAGTTCATCTGAAAGAATTAAACTAAATACATATTTAATTACATATACCCCAATCTGTGAATTTTGTAGAAATTGGTGATATGGCTTGCATCTGTGTCCCCACCCAAATCTGTTGAAAATATAATCCTCAATGTTGGAGGTAGGGGTTGGAGGTGATTGGATCATGAGGGCAATTTATTTATCTTTTTTTTGAGATGGAGTCTCACTCTGTCACCCAGGCTGGAGTGCAATGGTGCAATCTCAGCTCACTGTAACCTCCACCTCCAAGGTTCAAGAGATTCTCCTGCCTCAGCCTCCCCAGTAGCTGGGACTACAAGTGCATGCCACCACACCTAGCTAATTTTTGTATTTTTAGTAGAGATGGGGTTTTGCCATGTTGGCCAAGATGGTCTCGATCTCCTGATCTCATAATCTACCTGCCTCAGCCTCCAAAAGTGCTGGGATTACAGGCATGAGCCACCACACCCAGTCATGAGGGCAATTTCTAATGGTTTAGTATCATCCCCCTGGTGCTGTTCTCATGACAGAGTTCTCATGAGACCTGGTTGTTTAAAAGTATGTGGCACCTCCCCCGCCCCCTTCCTCCTGCTTCAGCTGTGAGAAGACACCTGCTCCAGCTTTGCCTCCCACCCTGAGTAAAAGTTCCCTGAGGCCTCTCCAGAAGCAGATGCTGCCAGGCTTCCTGTACAGCCGCAGAACAGTTAGCAAATTAAACTTCCTTGCATAAATTACGCGGTTTCAGCTGTTTCTTTCTTGGACTAATACAACTGGGAAGGCAAAAGGGAACAATATTCCCTGAAACCCCTTCCAGGCTTCTGTCAGCACTTCTCCTGTGAGAGACAGGACACTGTTAAAGTCCCAGCCCACGGGACCTCAGAATGTGGACATGGGGTCTTTAAAGAGGTAAATTAAGGATAAATGAAGACATCAGGATGCACCCTAACCCAGTATGACCGGTATTCTCATAAAATGGGGTGATCAGGACACAGAAGAAAGACCACGTGAAGACACACAGAGAAGGCAGCCATCTGCATGTCAAGGAGAGAGACCTCTGGAAAAAAAAGCAAACCTGCCAACACCTTGATCTCAGACTTCTGGCCTACAGGACTGCAAGAATATAAATTCCTGTTGTTTAAGCCACCCAGTCTGTGGTACTTTGTTCTGGCAGCACTAGCAAACCAATACAGATTTTACTGTCTGAACCAGGTATCGGGACTGCATTTGGAAGTCAGGATCCCAACACTGTTTAGCTTATATCTACAGCAGTGTGGTCAAATCAGACCATCTGCAAGAATTCAGTCTGTCTGACTGTCCATATGTTGAAGCCATAAAATCCAAAGGTCTATAGGTAACTAAGCTTCAGACTGGGCATGCCATAAAGATAAAACTAGGTGACAATACAGGTTGAGCAGACATAGATCCCATCACTGCCTATTCAAGGAGGAGACCAGTCGTATGGCAATGATTTGAAGACTACCTTCCAACTAGCCTCAGGCTTTTCACAGGCTGGTTAGTTATTCAGAAATCAACTGTAGAGTTTCTAGAGTTCATTATTCTCATATATGTCAAACAGATCCATGGTTCCCAAAATTCTTCATAGTAACACACAAGACCATTTATATAGACAGGAATTACGTTTGACAAATAATTACTGAATATTGATTCTACACTTCAAATATGATGAGGTTTGTTAGAGACTCAATTGTGTCCTCTGCAAAATTCATGTGTTCCAACCCCTAGTACCTCAGAATGTTACAGTATTTGGAGATATGGTCTTTAAAGAGGTAATCATGTTAAAATAAGGTCATTAGGACAGAATCCAATATGATTGCTGTCCTTATACGAGGAAATTTGGGGCCAGGCGTGGTGGCTCACGCCTGTAATCCCAGCACTTTGGGAGGCAGAGGTGGGCAGATCATGAGGTCAGGAGTTAGGGACCAACCTGGCCAAGATGGTGAAACCCCGGCGCTACCAAAAATACAAAAATTAGCTGGGCATGGTGGCAGGCACCTGTAATCCTAGCTACTCAAGAGGCTGAGGCAGAAGAATCGCTTGAACCCAGGGGCAGAGGTTGCATTGAGCCGAGATCACGCCACTTCACTCCATCCTGAGCAAAAGAGCAAAACTCGATCTCAAAAAAGGAAAAGAGGAAATTTGGACATAGACACAAACAGAAGGAGGCTGAAATCAAAGCTTTCTAGAGAAGATCACACTATACATTTGATATAGACAAAAAGCACAGACATCATTTATTTAAGCAGACTCCCTTACTCTCTTCATAACTGCTGGTACTAGACCTCTTAAGAGTTTGAATTTCCTGGGAAAGCATTGAAAGCCGATCTGACTGTGTAGGGGTTTCATCATCTTCTGGGTCCGGTGATTCCTGCATCATTTCTTCAATTTCTTCAATAACCTTTGAAAACATACATACAACTGTTAATCAAATATACAAAAGGAAAATGATCTATCTGGAACATGGCATTCACCTAAGGCACCCAGAGTAGAAATGCACTAAATTCTCCATTAACCAATGGTTTTCAGGAGTGAGTGTTCTGAATAATCAAAATTTTGATTATAGGAGCAAACATGGTTTATCAAGAAAAAATTACGATATACTAAACACAAACCTAAATATAATTTGATTTACTATGTCCATCATGATTCAGTTGGCCCTCCCAGGTCTTGTAAATTCTAAGAAATGGTGCCACAAACACATGATAATTTACTTCAGACATGCCAGAACCAGATCATAAAGTAATCATTATAAGAAAGCAAATAACAGAAAATTTACCACAGACATGCAAGTCCTCAATGTAAAGGTATTTCATCAAAAATTCTAACATAAAATTTAGAAAATACAATAGCACAAAAAACTATATGTAAACAAGAAATTACCTTTACGACAGCAAAATATTCTTTTAACAGTAGGAAAAGAATAGTATATATTAATTCAGTGAAAAATAAAGGGATATTTTTAAATTACTTAAAAAGTCTAAAGAGAAAAATGCTACAAAAAGCATAAAAACTTCAGAAATACATTTGCCTTTAAACAATGATCTATTGTCTAGTGCAGTGCTGCTCAAATCTTAAGACAGTATCTTGCCTGTTCCAGATTCTAAAAGTTGAGAAGTATATAGAATTCAGCAAAATGTAAAGGAAAGCCAGGAAAATTACTCAATAGTTAGAAAAGAAGGATCTAAAGTTAAAAAAAAAAAATTAAATACAATCAAATGAAGGAGCAAAACATCCTGAGCATATTTACCATGCTTTATGAATTAACAAGCTTAACAGGTAACATTTCCACCAAGGAAAAACAAAGGTAAATCTGAAGGAGACGGGATTATGTTAATTATAAGAAGAGTCTCCAAAACAGGCAATATAATATGACACAATGAGCCACTCAAGGCTCCTACAGAGTCTGTTATTCTAACTCTTAAAAACAGGGAGAGACAGTTTAAGGAATTAGGCAGGTCAGTGAGGGGACAACAAAGTCACAAGGTCATGTCTATCCCGAGATCACCCTCTACCTCAAAACAGCCCTCCAACCTACTATTACCTTGCTTTTTTAAGCACTGCATTCTTTCCAGGCCTAGAACAATTCAACCACAAATATGACTAAGGAGCATCCAAATAACACAATTTTAATGTAAATTTTTAATGTCCTCCTCCCAAGCTTGCCATAATATATCTCCTTACTGACCTCATCTTTCCAGCCTAAAAATAGAGTATGGTAGAATTCACAGTCCAAGTAGCCATGGAACATTTTATTTCAGGAAGAAGTTCTGGCATCACATTTCAACAATACAACAGAGGTGGGAAGAGCATTCAGAAAATGAGAAAGCTGATTCAACTGGTTTTAAGTGAATACGGGGTTGACCTTATTAGAGCGTTCCACAGGAATAATGCTCACTTCTTTCTGGGACACACAATATGTACTTTAACACATGCTAATGCTTTTTACCCAGGGTTTTAAAGATACTAAATAATTTCTACACAGATACTTCACAGTTTTTCCATATTTGGGTAAATCTAAAGAAATAAGGAAATTCACAATATTTTTCTGGTTTGAGGTTAAGCAATAACCCTTCCTTGGTAACTTGCTATACACTTCAACAATGCCTATGTTGGAAATCTTCCCAACTAACATAATCCCTTCTGCTTCAGATGACATTACTTTTCTCTGTGGAAGAGTTAACTATTAAGCCTGTATAACCAGAAAAAATAGGAAAGATAAGTAAACCAACAGCCATTATTTAGTGTCATAATAAGAAGCCGTTTTCCAGCTCTGGAGTCTCCTTTCCTTGCGCTGATGAGTATCTCCTCTATACCTGGTCTGCTGTGAAGAGGGGTTCATCATTCACACAGGAGACAATGATTGAGTGCATATCCAGCTGCTCTCTCAGCTCCTCGTCATCTGACGCATCAAAGAGCAAACTGTCACTTACCTAAAAACAAAAATGCCCACCATTAAACGCAGGACATCCTGATCAAAACAAAGTTAACAGCTCTGAGTAAAGGAGGCTGCAGGGAAAAGCATCTACTGAGAGCTTTCCCTTGAGGGGGAGAAATTATTACAATCACTCACAAGCAGTGAGTACATGTTCATCTGGAACAGAAATGAGAAGAATGTATAATAAATATGAAATTGCTAAGATGCTGCATACATCCCCTATTGCCTGAGATAGATACAAACTCTGCTATTTTTTTCCATGGGGAAAACTGCTATAAAAGCTGACAGATATGCAGAAAAAAATATGGTATTCGTTAGCAAGTCATAGAGAATTACTGTGAGTAGAAGGGAGAATAGGAGCAAGTTTGGCAACAAACAATAAGATTGATAGATGTTAAAATTCAAAAGAAAACATAAAAGTTACTTGGAAACTAACTGCTAATATCTTTTTTTTTTTTTTGAGACGGAGTCTCGCGCCGTTCCCCAGGCTAGAGTGCAGTGGTGCTATCTCAGCTCAATGCAACCTCCACTTCCCAGGTTCAAGTAATTTTCCTGCCTCGGCCTCTCATGTAGCTGGGATTACAGGCGGCTGCCACCATGTCCGGCTAATTTTTTTGTATTTGTAGTAGAAACGAGGTTTCACAATGTTGGTCAGGTTGGTCTAGAACTCTTGACCTCAGGCAATCCACTCACCTTGGCCTCCCAAAGTGCTGGGATTACAGGCATGAGCCACTGTGCCCAGCCCACATATTTCTTCTTAAAAAAAAAATAATAACCCTAGGTTCCAAGAACCTCTTTAAACCTAACTGAGCTGGCAATTCACCTCTCACCTCACAACCATCTTCCACCCTGCTCTGTGCTCCAAGAGGATCACCTTTACGGAGGACATCAAAGGATGTTCTTGCTGTCTGGCTTCCAGATGGGTTAAACCCACTGGCAGACACTGGGAGACTAGAGGGTGGGATGGTGAGGGCTGCGCGTGTATTCTGCTGTCTTCCTCCCTGTCAGACGGTCACTTGTTGACTATGGCTCTTCACCAAAAGCCATCGCTCTGGTTAGCAGACCTCTCCCACACAGCCAATCTCAACAGTTTCTGGTAATCTCTCCCTGTCCTTACCTATTCATGCCCAGGACTGCTAAAGTACCAGTTTCTGTTGCCAGCCCTGGGAGACTGCATCATGCCTAGTTAGCTTCCCTTAACCCTGCCCATACCGACATAAACAGCCCCCTTAATAATGACTTAGAGTTTAGCACCAGTACTGACTGTAAAAACCTTGCCTGAAAAACCTCAGCAGATTGAAATGAACAAGTGAACTTCTGTCTATCATCTACCTATCTGTCATGGCATGACCATTCCGGTGTTGAATGGAACTGAAATTAGAACTCTATTCCCCAGGCCAGGTGCGGTGGCTCATGCCTGTAATCCCAGCACTTTGGGAGGCCAAGGTGGGCGGATCAAGAGGTCAGGAGTTTGAGACCAGCCTGGCCAACATAGTGAAACCCTGTCTCTATTAAAAATAAAAGTAACTAGCTGGGCATGGTGGCAGGTGCCTTCAATCCCAGCTACTTGGGAGGCTGAGGCAGGAGAATCACTTGAACCCAAGAGGCGGAGGTTACAGTGAGCCAAGATCACGCCACTGCACTCCAGCTAGGGCAACGGTATGAGACTCCGCCTAAAAAAAAAAAAAAAAAAAAAAGAACTCTATTCCTCAGGAAGGATTAGCACACACTGAGTTTCCTAAGAATAACTGTGCAACAAGGATTATATAAGAAGCCATCATGTCATTCTATTACATAGTATATAACTAAAATGATAAAATTTTGCCTGGCAAAATAATTTTATTTATCCAAGCAGAGGATATATATCTAAAGCTGAGGACAAATGGAGTGGAGCTACTGCTTCCCTAGTTCTGTATAACATGAGCATCTGGGGACAGCAGGTGAACGCAAACTACAGAGTAAGAAACATGCAGGTGAGAAGAGCCAAGGAAACAAGCACTGGCATGTCGACTTTGCAACATTAGGCAGGTAGAAGGCCCATCGGCACTGCAGGGTCCACCCACACCCCAAAGCGCAACTCCAGGCTGTTGCACAGTGACGACATCCCTTCTTATTTTATTTCTCACTGCACCATCAGCCTAGCAAAGGCCTGGCCATGGCCTTCAACACAACATCATGAACTCAGAACACTGTGGAAAAAAGAATATAAAACCTTCCAGGGAGAAAAAAAAAAAAAAAAGCACATTATATTAACAGGATCAGGAATCAAAATGTCATGTGAATTCTCAATAGCAATAATAGATGCTACAAAATAATCAATGTAATTTCCAGGCTGGGAGAAATTCCATCCTAGAATCTTATATCCAGCTAAAAAACAAGTAGGCAGGGGCTTAGGAAAAAGAGAGTTTCAGACATACAAGTTCTCAAAAAATTTACCTCTCATGTGCCCTTTCTCAAAAAGCTACCAGGAGGAAAATGAAAAAGAAAAAAGATATGTGGTCTAATAGCAAGCAACAGGCAAAGAGAATTCTCATCATGATCATAAAGTGAAAATCCCAGAATGATGACTGTAAAGCTAAACTAGAGAGCAGCCACTCAGATTAGAATTGTTACCGCAGAGATCATGGAGAAGAGAGAGAGGAGGGTGGGGAGGGGGAGCAGGAGGACTCGATAGATTGCCTAGTGTAGTCCATTTGCTGAATGAGTTCTCTGGCTCTACTGAGGCTGAATTGGTCAGCTAATTATAAACTAAATAAATCACAAAAAGGCAGTTATTATCCTAAGAAAAAACCTAAGTAGAAAAAGAGAAAATTTAAACATAATATATCAAAATGGGTCAACTATACACATTTAAATAGTAAATATAAATGATGAAGATCAATTCAACCCACATGTTGATGTAATTATACAGGGAAGATGGGGGAAGGGAAGTTTTTGGGAAGGTCTGGTGTCAGAGGTTGGCAAAGGGCAGTAAGAGAGCTAAACCTTCACCCTCTGGGTGGAAAGTAAATAAATAAAGCCTAAAATTGAGAAAATAATATCAAGTAAAATGGCATGAGCATGTTATCTGCTAGAAGAAATAGCTGATATAATTTAAAGTGGCCAGTTACCTCTGGTAAGGAGAAATCAAGGATGAGGTAAGTGGAGCAGAGACTGCCATTTAAGTCCTATAGCTCTAATTTACTTTTTAAACTATGAGAGCTGTCCCTTCAATAATTTAATTTTTAAAAGAAGAAGATAGATCAAGAAACTAGGCCCTTGATGAGAGGGGATGTATGATTTCAAAATCATAGAACATGAAAAAGTGGCACAATGTGATTTCAAGGGTGTGTCACTGGCACAGAGTAGACCTACCGATTAGCTTCATCCATCCTTCCACTTCGAACACTCCAAACCCCCTTCCCAGTCACTCTTGCTGTGTCGCAGCTTGGGGACAATAGTTCTGTTTTATTTTTCCCCTTCTGGCTTATAAATACTAAAAGTTTTAATTTTAAAATTAATCCAGGCTGGCACAGTGGCTCATGCCTATAATCCCAGCACTTTGGGAGGCTGAGGCCGGTAGATTGTTTGAGCTCAGGAGTTTGAGACCAGCCTCAGCAACATGATGAAATTACATCTCTACAAAAAATACAAAAAATTAGCCAGGAGTAATGGCGTACATCTGTAGTCCCAGCTATCTGGGAGGCTGAGGTAGGAGAATTGCTTGAGCACAGGAAGCCGAAGTTGCAGTGAGCCGAGAAGGCGCCACTGCACCCCAGCCTGGGCAACAGAGCCAGACCACGTCTCAAAAAAAAAAAGAAAACAATTACTCCTAAGGAAGCCTAGGTTGCCACAGCTCACACCTGTAATACCAACACTTTGGGAGGATAAGATGGAAGAATCTCTTGAGGTCAGGAAAGCAAGAACAGCCTGAGAAACACAGTAAGACCTTGTCTCTACAAAAATATTTTTTCTTAAAATTAGCCAGGCATGGCACTGCTCATGTGTAGTCCTAGCTACTCAGGAGCCTGGAGTGGGAAGATTGTTTAAGCCTGGGAGTTGGAGGCTGCAGTAAGCTATGATGGTGCCACTGTACTCCAGGCTGGGCAACACAGGAAGACACTCTCTCAATCTATCAATCAATCAATCAATCAAATTACTTCTATGGAAGACATTATTATCTTATTTTTTATTTCTTATTTCTGCTCTTAAAGGTATAAAGATGCACACAAAAGTCCCTGTCACCAAGGAAATGCACATGGAAGGAAAAGTACAGCACAGAAGATGTTCTTAAGCTGAAATGAATGAGAAGAATTTTATCATATAAGCATATTCAAGAATGGCACCAGATTTAAAATAGGTTTATGACCAAAACACATGAGCAATACCAGTAAACTATTATAAATTTCCATGACAACAGAAATGATCCCAGATCATCTTTCCAGAGAGAGAGCCAAGTCCATTCCCCACAGAGATGGCATATGCTAAGAGCTGGAATACCTTTCAAGCTTTGCAAATTAGCTCTGGCTGTCATGGGTATCATTATTCACTCTCCCATTCGGCATAAATGTGTCTTCTCTTTGCCAAGCATTCCCATCGCTCCTTCCTATGCCATGGTTAGATACAGACCTGGTGGTACTGTTTCCCTGTATAAAACTGAAGATACATCAAATGGAAAAAATGTGCCCATGTAAGAATTTGAAAGATACCAGTTGCCCTACTCTAAAAAAGACCTATCAAATTCAGAAGCGTGCCACCTTAATCTTCAATCAAAGAAAAATTTAAAACTGCAATCTAGCAAACTAGTTTTCCTGAATGTTTTTCTTGTTTTAATGCAAAAAAAATTCTTTTGTCAAAAACAATTTTCTATAGACTTTGTTTTTTAAGTGAAATAATCTAAAGAATGCTTTTGGCCAGGCGTGGTGGCTTATGTCTGTAATCCCAGCACTTTGGGAGGTGAAGGTGGGCAGATCATGAGGTCAGGAATTCAAAACCAGCCTGGTCAACATGGTGAAACCCCATCTTACTAAAAATACAAAACAATTAGCTGGGCATGTAATCCCAGCTACTTGCGGGGCTGAGGAAGGAGAACTGTTTGAACCCAGGAGGTGGAGGTTGTAGTGACCCGAGATTGTTCCACTGCACTCCACCCTGGGCAACAGAGTGAGACTCTGTTTTTAAAAAAAAAAAAAGAATGCTTTCAAAAGGTAAATTTTATACAGCTTAGTCATGGAAAGAATAGATCACCCAGGTGGCAATGGTAAATACAATAACTTTCCAGGTTAAAAAAAAAGGTTTAATTATATACTGTGTAATAGAATGATGTGGTGGCTTCTTACATAGTCCTTGTTGTCCATTTGTTTTTCGGGAACTCAATGTGTACTAATCCTTCCTGGGAAACAGACTTCTAATTTCAAATCTATTCATCAACCAGAATAGTTATATCACAACAGAGAGGTGATAAGTGAATGATGACGTGTTCACTTTCATATGCTGAGTTCTTCCAGCTAAGGCTTTTTAATGTCAATACTAGCAGTAAACTCTACGTCACTACTAATCATTATCTTGGCGATGTCATTACCCTGGCATTGAAAATGACATTCAAAAGACAACAAAAGGGAGCTTCTTCCCAATATGCAATCTAAGAACAATATAAGATGTACAGCCAATCCTTCAGTATCCATGGGAAATTGGTTCCAGGATGCCCCAACATCAAAATCTGCTGATGCTCAAGTCACTTATATAAAATGGGGTAGTATTTGCATATAACCTGTGCATATCCTCCTGTAAGCTTTAAATTACATGTAAATTACTTATAATACCTAAACAAGGTAAATGGTTTATAGTTGTTGTATTGGTTTTTCATTTTTATTATTTTTTATTGTTGTGTTGTTATTTTATTGTGGGGTTTTTTTTCCAAGTTTTTTAACCCACGGTTGGCTAAAGCAGCAGATGTGAAACCAGAGAATATAGTGAGCCCACTATAAATTTTAGTCAATGAAAGTGGATTACAGTGTCTCATTCATGCTGCTAATGTGCCTGTCTTTGAAACGAGGAATGAAAACTCTTCTATGCTATTTTTTAATATGTAAAAAAAAAAGTATCCATGGACTGGTTTTGGTGCATTCAGCAGTATTTTAAATAATACATAAAATATTTTTTAAAAAACCTTTCCATCACAATCTCTGGCCCTACAGTTTCACTGATACTCATTTCTTCACTCAATAGTGAACAGGTGTCTTCATACTTACTATGTGCCAGGAACAGTGTCGTTACTATAAAGACAAATACAAATACCTGCTGGGAAGTCACAATCTAGTGACAGACTCAGAAACATGATTAACAAGAGAGAGTAGTGGTAATTTTAGAGACATAGACAAAGGGCTCCAGGGACAAGCACCCCTGAGACAACAAGGCTAAACCCCATAGCACAGATAACAAGTCCTTTCAAAGTTCACATCCCCACTAGTGCCATCAGTTCCCACAGAGGGGAGTACGTTTTCCTTCCATGCAGGGATTTAGGCCATGGCTAAATAACCATCTGGCAGAGATGCTGGAGGTGGGGATTCCCCCCAAGTGAGAGGCTGGATTAAGTGTCCTTTAAAGCCCCTTCCAACTCTAAAATTGTATAATTCCATGAGATCAGCAAAGGCTAAAACAGTACTAGGAGGCTTTAGAAAGGAAGGGAAACTTGAACTAAGCCCAAAATTATAGTCAGGACCTAAATAAACATAAGACAGAGCAAAAGATCCCTCATTTTGTTCCTTTTCATTAAATGTATGCCAGGTCTGTCTGCAAAGCTTAATGGGATTAATGACTGGCACAATCAGGAAGATTTCTATAGCTACTGAATACTGGGAAATATAGCAAGAATTCTACATTTTACTAGAAAATAGAAACAGTAGGCTTTTCTGATCTCACATATAAGAAAATCCTTTTAACAAAACATTAACAATGCTATTAAAAATACTGACAGGACTACTGCACTATACTCCCAATAATCACATAATTATACTTAATGAAATACAGAGCACACAAGAAGATCTGGCATGAGTTTACTTTATTATTTGATAAAGAAGTTAAACAGCCTGGCCCTGAAACTTTGACTATGTTTCTCAAGAACTTTAAACAAACTTAAGAGTTGATTTTCTACTTCAAGTAATTCTCTGCCCTTTTCTGCCCCCATACCTGTCCTATCACTTGTGCTCCACTTCTTAGTCAAGGCGTCTTCACTTTGCAATACCAGGACATACACAGGGGCCCAGAAGAAAGGTAAGTTAGTCAAGAACATATTTAAAAAGACAAGAACTAAAATATCTTTTTCTTTTTTTGGAGATGGAGTCTTGCTCTGTCGCCAGGCTGAAGTGCAGTGGCACAAACTCGGATCACTACAAACTTCACCTCCCGGGTTCATACAATTCTCCTGCCTCAGCCTCCGAAGTAGCTGGGACTACAGGCGCATGCCGCCATGCCTGGCTAATTTTTGTATTTTCAGTAAAGACAGGGTTTCACCATGTTGGCCAGGATGGTCTCGATCTCCTGATGTCGTGATCCACCTGACTCAGCCTCCCAAAGTGCTGGGATTACAGGCATGAGCCATTGCGCCCGGCCTTAAAAAGCTAAGAACTAAAATATCTTTTAAAGATTCTCCAGTATTCACAGGAATACATAGTCCTGACAACATACCATGTCTAGAGGAAACCACATTCATTAAAATGTTAACTCGATGTTGAGATTCAAATATCCTCAGTCTATTAAACCAAAGGCTAGCATTTTTACTGAGTGTTTCAGTGCATCAAAATTTTACTGAGTGTTTTAGTCCATCATCACTGCCAGGTGCAGTGGCTCATGCCTGTAATCCCAACACTTTGGAGGCTAAGGTGGATCACCTGAGGTGAGGAGTCCGAGACCAGCATGGCCAACACAGCCAAACCCTGCCTCTACTAAAAATACAAAACTTAGCTGGGCATGGTAGTGCACGCCTGTAATCCCAACCCTCTGCCTCCCGGGTTCAAGCGATTCTCCCACCGGGAGGTTGAGGTGGGAGAATTTGCTTGAACTCGGGATGCGGAGGTTACAGTAAGCCGAGATCACTCTACCACACTGCAGCCGGGGTAACAGAGCAAGACTCCGTCTCAGGAAAAAAAAAGAAAAAAAAATCGTGATGGAAATTTAACTACACATACAAAAATGAGTGTGCTGGAGAAGAACTGGAGGAATGTACCAGCAAGGTGACAGCCCTAGAACCAAGAGAGTAAGACAGAGCCTCCCCAACTGATGTTAAGTTCAGGAATAAGAGGCAGGTCAATGAATCTGTGTTAAGCAGAAATGCTACAATTTTAGTTCTATTATTAGCATGAGTTATTCAAAAACCATTGGTTCAATTCCTAACTTACCCCTTTTTCTGAGAGGTTCAGAGTAAGCAAGTGCAAGGTCCTAGTGTGGGATGACTTCCAGTCTACAGGCATCACATTTCCATAATTATCTGTCAGGGCATTCCAAATCCTTAAAAAGAAGAAAACTATAATCAATGAAAATTAATACTCTATATGTCTTTCTTAAACAAATGTTTAGTGAAAGATGATCACCAAATGTCAAAGGAGAAAAGCAAAAAGCACATTGTCTCAAAAAACATCAACAAAGTAGAGTCTCCTAAACACAACTAAGTGAAAAATCACATAACTGGGCTGATAAGAAGTCCTAAGTGAAGGTGAAGGTGTACAGAAAACCCCCAAAGTCAATAGGCAACATTTCCATTGCATTAGGTGCTAGGCACCTTCTAAGCAATTTATATGTATTAACTCATTTAATCTTTAAAAACAACATTAGAAGGGGAAAACATTATTATTCCCATTTTACAGATGAAGAAACTGAAACACAGGGAGGGTAAGAAATGTTTCCAGGGTCACATGAGTAATAAAAACAACTGTGTATTACACTTACTTTTCTTCTGTAACTTCAAACACACAGACCATTTCAAAAAGTGAAAAATTCCTCTCTAACCAAAGGTTTGTTATCCTTTCTGGGGAAAGAATTTGCTCTCAATGTGAGAACAGGATTTAATATCTAATCTGTAATAAAGAAGCAAAAGACTAAGGCAGATAAAATGAAAAGGAGAAAGAGAGGGAGTTCACAATAAAATGCACACAGGCTCTATCCAATACAGTTACCCGATCTTATTACCCACCAGCATTATGGGGAGGCAAGAGGGTAAAATGGAAAGGGCATTTGAATAAGACCAGGAAACAAACTCTCATCTCCATCCTTCTTCAAACGAGCCACTGGCCAAGCCCCTTAATCTCTCTAGGTATCCACTACCCTTCTATAAATGAGAGACCTGGATAAGAAACAGATACTCCTGGCCGGGCGCGGTGGCTCAAGCCTGTAATCCCAGCACTTTGGGAGGCCGAGGCGGGTGGATCACGAGGTCAAGAGATCGAGACCATCCTGGTCAACATGGTGAAACCCCGTCTCTACTAAAAATACAAAAAATTAGCTGGGCATGGTGGTGCGTGCCTGTAATCCCAGCTACTCAGGAGGCTGAGGCAGGAGAATTGCCTGAACCCAGGAGGCGGAAGTTGCGGTGAGCCGAGATCGCGCCATTGCACTCCAGCCTGGGTAACATGAGTGAAACTCCGTCTCAAAAAAAAAAAAAAAAAAAAAAAATAGACACTCCTTCCAGCTCCATTATTCTAAGCATTAATTCAAATGAGATGTATTTAAGAGAATCCCAAACCACACCAGATAAGAACACCAAACTCAAATTTCATGACCAAAATTCAGGTTTCAATACCAAAGTAATAATCAGTGCAATAAAACATGTTTTATGAAAAACCAGAGTTCAGAGACACAAGTGAGTTGAAATCTAAATGGGATAGGTCAAACACTAAACATATTAGCTACTTACTAGCTAGAGGTATACACAAAGATGTCATGTAAAAAAATGTATATTAGGTATATAATTGTGAATAAACAACAGGCTTTCTTTCCAAGTGTGTAAGGCACTAGGATACAAAAATAATCCTGGTTGGGGCATAAACAAAAGAATGAATTTTTTTTAAGTTCCAGGGTACATGTGAAGAAGGTGCACATTTGTTATATAGGCAAACATATGCCATGGTGATTTGCTGCACCTATCAACCCATCACCTAGGTATTAAGCTCAAGAATGAAAATTTTAAAATAGAGATATAGCATAGTTCACAAATAGACATTAGGCACTAAAAAGAAGAAGCAATAGGACTGCAACTGCTAAAAGCATAACATCCCAAATGATGTTTGGCTTTAAAATACACATTAGGGACGGGCCTGTAATCCCAGCACTTTGGGAATCCAAAGTGGGAGGACTGCTTGAAGCCAGGAGTTCAAGGCCAGCATGGGCAACAAAAGGGAGACCCGAATCTCTACCAAAAAAAAAAAAAAAAATTTAATTCACAGTCCCAGCTACTTAGGAGGCTAACACAGGAGGGCTGCTTAAGCCTGGGTGACAGAGCAAGACCCTGCCTCTAAAAATGTATAAATGAAATAAAAAAATAAAATGAGCCTCAATAAAAATGTAAACCCAAAAAGCTCTCAAGAACTAATTCATCGGCCCAGCAAAACTCCCACAGGCATGGTCCATTCCTATGCTCCTCCCTGTTGGAATCATATCTCCTCTAATGCCAGTGAAGTAGAATTAGAGGCAATGTCTGTAGACTGCTAAACTTGCTGGGTTTCTGGCTCATACCTTCCTGGGTAAGAAATTTTCAAACACTGAGTGACTGATTATATTAGTTTATTTTCATGCAGCTGATAAAGACATACCTGAACCTGGGGGGCGAAAAAGGGGGTTTAATTGGACTTGCAGAGGTAAATGGCACTTCTTACATGGTGACAGCAAGAGAAAATGAGGAAGATGCAAAAGCAGAAACCCCTGATAAACCCATCAGATCTTGGGAGACTTATTCACTATCATGAGAATAGCACAGGAAAGTCCAGCCCCATGATTCCATTACCTCCCCCTAGGTCCCTCCCACAACCTGTGGGGATTCTGGGAGATACAATTCAAGTTGAGATTAGAGTGGGGACACAGCCAAACCATATCATTCTGCCCCTGGCTCCTCCAAATATTGTATCCTCACATTTCAAAACCAATCATGCCTTCCCAACAGTCTCCCAAGTCTTAACTCATTGCAGCCATTAACCCAAAAGTCTATAGCCCAAAGTCTCATCTGAGATAAGGCAAGACCCTTCTGCCTATAAGCCCATAAAACCAAAAGCAAGCTAGTTACTTCCTAGGTACAAGAGGGGTACAGGTATTAGGTAAATATGGCTGTTCCAAATGAGAGAAATTGGCCAAAACAAAGGGGTTACAGGGCCCATGCAAGTCTGAAATCCAGTGGGGCAGTCAAATTTTACAGCTCCCAAATGATCTCCTTTGACTCCAGGTCTCACATCCAGGTCACGTGATGCAAAAGGTAGGTTCCCATGGTCTTAGGCAACTCTACCCCCACAGTTTTGCAGGGTACAGCCTCCCTCTCTGCTGCTGTCACAGGCTGGTGTTGAGTGTCTGTGGCTTTCCAGGTGCACGTGCAAGCTGTCAGTGGATCTACCATTCTGGGGTCTGGAGGACAGTGGCCCTCTTCTCACAGCTCCACAAAGCAGTGCCCCAGTAGGGACTCTACGTGGTGGCTCCAACACCACATTTCCCTTCCGCGGTGCCCTAGCAGAGGTTCTCCAAGAGGGCCCCACAGCAAACTTTTGCCTGAGCATTCAGGCATTTCCACACATCTTCTGAAATCTAGGAGGAGGTTCCCAAACCTCAATTCCTGACTTCTGTGCAACCGCAGGCTCAACACCACATGGAAGTTCCCAAGGCTTGGGGCTTGCACCCTCTGAAGCCATGGCCTGAGATGTACATTAGCCCCTTTTGGCCACAGCTGGAGCAGCTGGGACACAGGGTACCAAGTCTCTATACTGCACACAGCAGGTGGACTCTAGGCCCAGTCCACAAAACCACTTTTTCCTTTTTGGGCCTCCAGGCCTGTGACGGAAGGAGCTGCTGTGAAGGTCTCTGACATGGCCTGTTGACATTTTCCTCTTGGTTGTGGGGGCTAACATTAGGCTCCTTGCTACTTATGCAAGTTTCTGCAGCTGGCTTGAATTTCTCCCCAGAAAATGGGGGGTTTTTTCTATCATGTAGTCAGGCTGCAAATTTTCCAAACTTTTATGCTCTGCTTCCCTTATAAAACTGAATGCCTTTAATAGCATCCAAGTCACCTCTTGACTGCTTTACTGTTTTGAAATTTTTTCTTCAGATACCCTAACTCATCTTTCTCAGGTTCAAAGTTCCACAAATCTCTAGAGCAGGGACAAAATGCCACCAGTCTCTTTGCTAAAACACAGCAGGGGTCACCTTCACTCCAGTTCCCAACAACTTCCTCACCTTCACCAGAGACCACCACAGCCTGGATTTTATGATCCATACTGCTGTTGGCATTTTGGGAAAAGCTATTCAACAATGTCTTTAGGACGTGCTAAACTCTCTCACATTTTTCTGTCTTCTGAGCCCTTCAAACTGTTCCAATCTCTGCCTGTTACCCAGTCCCAAAGTTGCTTCCACATTTTCGGGTATCTTTTCAGCAATGCCCCACTCCCTGGTACCAATTTACTGTATTAGTCCATTTTCATGCAGCTGATAAAGACTTACCTCAGACTAGGAAGAAAAAGAGGTTTAAATTGGACTTACAGTTCCACATGACTGGGGAGCCTCAGAATTACAGTGGAGGTGAAAGGCACTTCTTGCATGGTAGCAGCAAGAGAAAATGAGAAAGAAGCAAAAGCGGAAACCCCTGATAAGCCCATAAGATCTCGTAAGACTTCTCTATCATGAGAATAGTACAGGAAAGAAGTCCCCCTGGATCCCTCCCACAACACATGGGAATTCTGGGAGATACAATTCAAGTTGAGATTTGGGTGGGGACACAGCCAAACCATATCACTGACTATAGACCTAATCCTGGTCAGGAACTTGAGTAGGATACACTAGCAGGTGAAGACAGTCCAGGGTTTGAGGAGATTGCTTTGTCTGCTTATTTGCTCCTTCTTAAATGAGCCTATAAGAAAAACACAAGTGGAATGAAATATTTCACTTAGAAGTGCCTGTCGGTGACTTTGATCTTCCAAGAAAACGAAAGCCAATTAACAGTCTCCACCAAGGTCAAAACAATGGTAGTTGGAAGGACATAGAGGAAACTCTAGTGAAAGATTTCTAGAATTCTGCAGTTAAGACATATGAACTGCCTTCATCTTTATCATCAAGTATTACAACCCATCATAAACAGCGGGCAGGACAGCTCTTTTGCAAGGAAGTCAAAGTCCTGCCAACATTAAATCCTGCAGAATACTCTTCTAAAGTAAAACCTCAGTAAGTAAATACAATCCATATTTAACCAAAACTAAAGCTGAGGCTTACAGAATTTAAGTGCCCCTAAAGTGGTCCCCGTTCTTTTTGATATCAGGGACTGGTTTCACAGAAGACAATTTTTCCACAGACCAGGGGTTGGGGGGATGGTTTTGGGCTGATTCAAGCATATTACAATTTATTGTGCACTTTATTTCTATTATTATTACACTATCATATATAATGAAATAATTATACAACTCACCATAATGTAGAAACATGGGAGCCCTGAGCTTGTTTTCCTGCAAAGAGATGGTCCTATCTAAGGGTAAGGGGAGACAGTGACAGACCATCAGGCATTAGATTCTCATAAGGTATGTGCAAACTAGATCTCTCACAGGCGCAGTTCACAATAGGGTTTGCGCTCCTATGAGAATCTAATGCTCTGGCTGATCTGACAAGAGGCGGAGCTCAGGTGGTAACGCAAGTGATGGGGAGGAGCTGTAAATACAGATTAAATACAGATGAAGGTTTGCTCACTCACCCAGCCACTCACCTCCTGTTATGTGGCCCAGTTCCAGTACTGGTCTGGGGACTAGGGACCCCCTGACCTAAAGCACAGCAATATCTGAGTAAAACAATTATCAATTCTATCTAGCGAAAAGGGAGCTGGAACAGGCTATCAAGCAATGGTGAGTATGTTTCTGTCATATAAAAGGGACAATGACAATGGTGACCAGCTCCCAAGTCCTGAAAAAAGAGAGATTTCTTATGCATTCTCAAGAAACATGCATTACCACCAACATAACATCTACTAAATACCACTAACAAGAGCAACAAAATATTTTTTTAAGTAAAGGCTAAAATAACCTACTTTCCTGTCAATCTGAGTAAAACAAAGACTCTTAACATTCTATGTACAATCCTCTAATTGATTTAAGTCAGTTACTCTTGATAAACCCAAATACATAATAAATCTACACTAATATTTAAATCCAGAATATGCCCTGGGTTTAGTGATTCAGAGTATCTAAATCTACATATACATAAAATTATCTTCTCTTTGGGAACAGACTTCCAGAAATGACATCTTTTGCTGCTGACTGCATGCATGTGTGTATAAAATCCATCACAAATTCTTCCCTCCTCTGCACCTAGGCAGAACAGTATTCAGAGCAACCAATGAAAGGAGATGGGTCTCCAAACTCGGGGGAGTTTGCAACACTGCTAGGCCATGTTTATAGAACCCACTCCCAAAGCTGTCTTTTCAAGCTTCCTACCTTATTCCTGATAAATCTGTTTCACAGAAGAAAGGAGACAATCAGGCTGGAAACTCCTTTCTGTGCCCATGATTCCTGCCCTGTCTCTCTAAAATTCTTCCCTAACCTCTAAGAGTCTCTCCATCCCATCAATGCTCTGAAAATCCATTCCTTCCCATGTCCTCATTTTTGAGACAAAGTCTCGCTCTGTCACCCAGGCTAGAGTGCAGTGGTGAGATGACGGCTCACTGCAACCCTTGCCTCCCTGACTCACGCAATCCTCCCATCTCAGCCTCCTGAGCAGCTGGGTCCATGGGACCACAGGTATGCACCACCACACTCCACTAATCTTTTAAAATTTTGTAAAGACCAGGTATCACTATATTGCCCAGTCTGGTCTTGAAGTGCGGGGCGCAAGCCATCCTCGCACCACCGCTTCCGAAAGCACTAGGATCACAGGTGTGAGTGAGCCACTGTGCCCAGTCTTATTCCACTCATTTTACCTTCAGCCTCTCCAGGGACTCCTCTCCCCCTATATACACAACATACTCAAGTCCCCTCACTCTCACCATTCCTATTTACCATCTTTTAGGGGTAAAACTGTGGTACATAATCACAACTCTTATTTAACCAAATTATAATTGCTGCTCAGGGTGGTTTAAAAAGTGCCCACAGGAACTCTGAGCCTCCCCTCGCCCAGCTTTCATAAATCCCTGTCAACCTCCTATCATTGCACTTCGGTGATCCTGTAATTATTAATATTACCTGTGTATGCCTTGGTCTCCCCACCAGACCATGCGATCGTTACCATCCATAAGCAAGGCCCTTGGTTTTCGCCTCTGTGGCGACTCGCACTCTACCAGGGCTCTGGGATGGGTCCCACAGATTCCTGTGCCCTCAATGCTGTATCGCACGTTGGTACTTATGTACGGGCAACACACTCCACCTAGAATGTTAGACTTTTTCCACCTGCAGGCACACTCCCACGCATCAGTCATCTCGTTTGCGCATTTCTCTATGAAGTCTTTCCTGACTCTCCCCAGACACACGCTTTTAAGTCTCCCACATTTGGTACCTATATCCATTGCAGCAACAATTACACCTATACAAATATCTGTTTACAAATCTATCTCCCATCCTACGATGTGTCGTACTTGGGAGGGGCAATGCCCAGGCGTTTTGGTGTTCTCTGTGCGAGGCAGCACCTGGCACTCAGCAGGTGCTTAATAAATGTGACTTGGGTGAATGAATGGCGACACACGTGCCCCAGGAGGTGCCGTCTCTAAGTACGAGCTCTGCACAGCAGATTCTCCTCTAAAGCAAACGAGGGTTTGTTTGCAGGAAGGAAAGCAGAAGGGAGCCGAGGCGGAGGTTTTCAGGGCGCGTGGCGGGTGGGGAGCAGAGGATTTAAACCGCCGGGCGAGCCGAGGCCGACGGCCCGAGGAGGGAGGCGAGAGGGCGGGGACTCCCGCGTCCATGGAAGCGGAAGGAGGGCGCGGGGAGGAGCTGTGGCCGGAGGGCAGGCGGGCAGGGCGAAGGGCAGGGGAGGCTCCCGCCCGCTCCCGGCCGGGCCCGCACTCACTCGTCCCCCTGCAGGAGGCTGCGCTCCGTGATGGGCCGCACGGCAGCCCTCGGGGGCTCGGCGCCCGGATCCGAGGGGCGGAAGCACAGGCTCAGCTTCTCCTCCAAGCTGCAGGCCAGCGCCGGGAAGCCGTCAGCACCCCCGCTCGCCCCCGCCCCCGCCCCCGCCTCTGCCCCGGCGTCGGAGCTCGCGTTACAGTTCTCCTGGTCCAGGAGGCTCCGAGCCGGCTCCTGGAACTCATAGAAATCCTGCCAGTCCCCGTCCGCCGCCATCGCCGCCCGGAGTAGTCGCGCGCCCCGCCCCGGCCGGCCCAGCCCGGCCCCGCCCCTGCCCGAAGCCCCGCCCCCGCCCGCCACCTTGCGGACGGATCCCAGGCAGTCCCGGCCTCGGCACTCCCCGTGGCCTGAGCCTTCCTGGAGTCGAACGCGGTGCTCCTAGAGAGCAAGACGTTAACTGCTTTGAGTCACTTCCTATATTCTCTATCATTTAGGAATAACTTCCCTCTTAGCTTCCCTCATTAGAAACCTGGCCTAAATGTGGCTAAAATCACTTTTTTAAACTTGCGACCTAATATCAGATTATGCCCCCAAAGTCGTTTTCCCCAAGGTAACCTGCTCCTTTCATAACTTGCCAACCAGAACAGCCAGAGTCACTGTTTAAGTGGTACCGAAATTCATTCCTCAGATATTTTGGCTCTCACGTGCAAAGCATCTGCTAGATCCTGCAGAGCATACAAAGATAATTATGCCAGTTAATATTTGCAAAGCACTTAGAACAATGCCTAATAGTAGATACCATAGTGTATGTTACAACTAATACATGGGTGCACCATACACAGGGCTTACAATGTCAGAGTGGTAACAGTAATAAGAAATTGTTTATGCCTCACAAAAACTAAGTGTACTTGGGCAGTTCAGTTTTGCAAGACGAAAAGTTATGGAAATGGATGGCGGTGGTGATGGTTCCATTTACCTGTTATGGCATGTCCACGTGTGAGTGAAAATGATTCCACAACAGAGTTAATGTGCTGAATGCCACTGATCTATATACTTACACATGGTTAAGATGGTAATTTTATGTGTATTTTACTACAATACAAAAAAATTGGAGGAGGCCAGGCACGGTGGCTCACTTTGGGAGGCCGAGGCAGACGGATCACTTGAGATCAGGAGTTCAAGACCAGCCTGGCCAACATGGTGTAACCCAATCTCTTACAGAATTTAGCCAAACGTGGTGGCACACACCTGTAATCCCAGCTACTAGGGAGGCTGTGGCAGGAGAATCCCTTGAACCTGGGAGGCAAAGGTTGCGGTGAGCCAAGATTGCACCACTGTACTCCAGCCTGGGCAACAGGGCAAGGCTCAGTCAAAGAAAAAATTTTTAAAGGGAGGAAAAAGTAAATATTATCATAAGGAAGTATGAATGTGGAGAGGCAATGAATGCTCAGGAGTTGAGAAGAGTGACTTCTTTGGACTGGCATGATCAAATACTTCACTTAGAAGGTGGAGCTAGGTTAGGTGATGAAAGACAAGCTCACAGTTTGAAAAATAAATCTGAAGTTAGTAATAGAAAAGAAATTTTTTCCCAGTATGGTTTGTCCATCTCTTGGCAGCATGGAAACCCATTTTCATAAATACATGTTAATACCAACATTTTCTTGTTTACTAGTCCAATAAATGTTGTGTTTTACTTCAGTGATTTGTCCTATATCAAATAAAATAGTTCTGTGGTTAAACCTAAGATACTGTTGATAATTAAAGGAAATATTGTTCCCTATTTCCTTTGAAAACATAAAGGGAATGAATGTTGAATCCCAGTTAGCCAAGAGCTAGAACTAATTAGTCAACAGTGAACAATAGCTTTAGGATTGATGTGAAAACATTCTGACTCAGCTACCTGAATGCTACTCAAAAGTGAGGCTCCAAAGTATCAAAGAGCTATTTTTCTCCAGGTGTTTGACTACACACACTAGGTTATGAAGAAACTAGTTGATGCAGACTCTCTAAATTATGTACTTGGCTAAGATAAAATTCATTTACTTTCTTGACTCATATTTCTATTTACCTGTTTTGGTGTGTCCATGTGTAAGTGAAAATGATTGCTCTTAGAGCCCAAAGGTAGCATTGTCAAACTTTTCAGATGTTTTTAAATAAATTGCCACTGGTTTAGCTCCAGTGGTATTAGAATTTTATTTTAGTTCAATTTCTTACACAGGATGATTTTTACTTTTAATTAAATATAAATATCCTTTTGGGAAAACAAGATGAAAATCACTTTTCTTGGTCAACTCATATTTGCACACTCATGGTAACCTTGGCACTCAACACTATCCATAAAAATACTCCAAAGAGATGTGTCTTTGAGAAAACACTATATTTCTCCATAGTTTTGCCACTTTATAGGGACAGAGCAATTAGATTAGAAAGAAAGTATAGAGTGGAATAAATTGTTAATTGGTACTTTGGTAGATTTGAAATAGTTGTTACTGTAAACACAAAATTGTAACAGCAGAAAAGTTTAAATACTTGTAAATTTAAACCGTTTACATGTTTAAATGTTTGTAACCAGGTAAAATTACAAAAGTAGCAATGTTTCTCTTCAATGCCTTCCACACACCTCTCTTCCCACGTGTATGTGGGGACCTCAGGTTGCTCCCCAGCCTTCCAGATCATCATATAGGAGGAGAGACCATGTTCCACCCAGGTTGTGGCCCCATTGCCCTGTCCCCACCCTTCCCTTTAGTTTCTTTGGTACTTGGCCCAGACTTCGTTTTTTAAGAGAATCTGGCTTCAAGTGACTGTTCTATAAACCCCTTCACTTCATAATTCCTGATAGCAAACTTAGCTCATTTCCTAGCAACTCTCATACCCATCAGCCAAATTCTGGCCTCCTACACTGCCACAAATCTGGAAAAACCACAGGCTTCCTGCCAGCCTCACCTGTTTTGATCAGTCCATCAATACCCAAAAGCCTCCAATTAAGAAGACGTTCTTTCACTTTGCTATATCTCACATAACCTGCTTCTACTAATTTGTCCTCCAAAATCTATTTATTTTGGACCTTTTATTTCCTACCATCTCCTGCAGGCCATAAGAAAATGAGCATGTGTAAACATGCTTGCTCACTTGATATATTAAGAAAAATTAGCCTATTGAATTAGTTTTCAGCCCTTGATTCAAAATTAGAAAGAGAATATAGAAAAACTTTTAGAGAGCTTCATAGCACTTGAGTATTACATTCATATTAATCATTTACGATAGAAAAGGTTACTTTTTTGGTTTGACAATGTACATAAATCTTGCACATGTGTAATATATCACAGTGGAAATTTATATAACAAAATATTTAAAAGTCTATTATTCAACATATAGGCCACTTGTCTTTGTCCATTTTGCGTCGCTATCACAGAATACCACAGACTGAGTAACTTATAAAGAAACTTATTTCTCACAGTTCTGGAGGCTAGGAAGTCCAAGATTATGCTGCTGACATCTGGTGAGGGCTTTCATGTTGTGTCATCTCAAGGCAGAAGGTGGAATGGCAAGAGAGTGTGAGAGAGCAGGGAAGGAAGGAAGGTCAGACTGATCCGTTTATCAGAAGTCTACTCCTGCCACAACTAACCCACTTCTGAGATAATGCTGTTAATTCATTCATAAGGGCATTGTCCTCATGATCCAAACACCTCTCAAATGTCCCTCTCTCAAAAATGTTGCATTGGGGATGAAGTTTCCAACACATAAACTTTAGGGGACACATTCAAACCATAGCACCACCTAAAAGTATAATCGGTCAGAAAATATAAGAACTGCAAAAGAAAGAAAGAAACTGTTGCATACAAAACCAAAAAATATCTGGTTGTTAAAGTATCATACTTAGCAAAGGCCAGAGGGATTCTAAAGCAATAGTAGAATAACGAGAAGGTATATAAATGAAGGTTTCTTGAGAAAAGCTAATGTAATTGCTGAATCATTTATAGCTGGAAGGGAAAAAAAACAGCTGATGAAACAAAAATAAAAATAATTTAGAAATCTCTATGGTGACCCAAGAATTTAAGGAAAGGTTGCTAAGCCTGATAAAAAGGAAAGAGTAGCTTCCTTCACTTTTTCTCCAGGAAAAAAAAAACAAAACTGACTTAACCAGACATTCAGGGTAGTGACATGTGACCGTAGTCCAAATTACTTGGGAGGCTGAGTCAGGAGGATCACTTGAGCCCAGGAGTTCATTACAGTGAGCTATGATGGCACCACTGCACTTCAGCCTGGGTGGCAGAGCAAGACCCTGTCTCTTTTTTCTTTTTTTAATTTTTCTTTATTTTTCTTTATTGATTTATTTATTTATTTTTGAGATGGTGTCTCGCTCTGTAACCCAGGCTGAAGTGCACTGGCATGATCTCAGCTCATTGCAACCTCCACCTCTCGGGTTCAAGCACTTCTGCCTCAGCCTCCTAAGTAGCTGGGATTACAGACGCACGCCACCATGCCCAGCTAATTTTTGTATTTTTATTTATTTATTTATTTATTTTCCCATTTATTTATTTTATTGCATTTTAGGTTTTGGGGTACATGTGAAGAACATGCAAAATTGTTGCATAGGAACACACATGGCAGTGTGATTTGCTGCCTTCCTCCCCATCACCTACATCTGGCATTTCTCCCCTTGCTATCTCTCCCCAGCTTCCCACCCCCCACCCTCCCTAATTTTTGTATTTTTAATAGAGACAGGGTTTCACCATGTTGGTCAGGCTGGTCTCGAACTCCTGACCTCGTAATCCGCCTGCCTCAGCCTCCCAAAGTGCTGGGATTACCAGTGAGCCACCACGCCCCACCAACCCTGTCTCTTAAAAATCAAAAATCAAGAAACTGTTGAGGAGACAAAGGCCACAATCTAGAATTTATTAATAAAGAATATTTTATTCCAGTTCATTCAGTTCAAT